GAACGGCGATTGTATTTTTATGAGAAGCTGTTTTTCATGGCAGAAATACACTCGGAGGTTTGCCATTGCCTGCCAAGGGACGACCGCTGTTAAGAAAAAACCTTTTTCTATATTTTTTGGGATGTTGCTTTGACCAGGGCTTGAACCCAGGTGCTGATGTGTGAAAGCGCGCACTGCTTACCACTACACCACAGCGGCCGACAAAATTACTTTGGTAAAATTAGAGTCATCTCATATTCGAATACATGCTGGAAATATTTGAATTACAGCGGCAGCACCAAGGGCTGCACTTCTAAAACAACTTTCGAATTTTTGCGATACATTTTGAATTCTACCATCTCACATTTTTTGAAATCGTTTTAATTATTCCGGCACAAAAAAAACTGTCGCGTGCTTTTTACTAGACCCACCTACCGACATGTATTTCGACCCACTGAATCCGAATCTGAGGTTCGTTTGACACGTACACTAAATTATGAAAAACCGAAAAAATAGCAAAAAAAATTTCGCAATTTACTCGAAATTTTGTTCGAGTCAAATGGACGGTTAAAAGCACCTGAAATTTTTTTTTGTGTACCGTTGCCATTATTCCGTGAGTCGCAGGTCCAAATAACGGCACATTCCGAACGAAAAATTACATTGAAAATGGCACAACGCCGAAACCGGTTTGTCTCCAAACCAAATTTGACAACGGATGATGGAAAATCGTTCCACATTATACCATACTCCTACCCTGTTGGAAACACCAACAACGAAAATGAGAATAACGGCATATGCAGTAACTGATAGCAAAATATTTTCTAATAAAAAAAAATATATTATAATTGTGTATGGCATTTTCAATCTTGATAATATATCAAGAAAATAGATTTAAACTTTTGTGCTAGAACTGTGAGTTCTTGATAAATAATCAAAAATTGACAAATTATAAAAATATTGAATTTATTAAGTCACAGAAACTGGCTGTAAGTATACATACATTTCTTAAGAAATATAGTAGTTTTATTCAGTATATTTTTTTCTCAGTGAAGAAGTGCAGATTTTGGTAGTGCAGATTTGGTAACTTTTGGTAACTTTTCTTAAGAGATATTGGTAGAAAAAAATGTTGGCGAATGGCAACCATGCTCTGTATGGTTTAGTTTCACAATTTAATCCGACAGTTGGCGCTGTAGTTGAGTTATTACTAAAAATCTTATTTATGATCCGATTTGGCTAATGTTTTAAATATGTATGCAATACTATTGCAAAAACGTGCTGCCAAGTGGTGCTGAAGTCGAGTTATTACTAAAAATAGCTAAGTGAAAAAAGGGGCCGTGAAGGTCAGATTAAATCGACCTGTTGTACCATTGAGTATATCGAACGCTCCTGCGTTGCGATTGGCCCAATGGATGTGCTTTTCCAATAATATTATGCGTTCAAACTTTTAAGGTATTTTGTCTGAAATAAGTATACGTATATTGGATTTCTGTAGAACAATGATCCGCACCCATTTTGAAACTGCCACCAGTGTTGCCAAACATGGACTTTTCCTACCAAAACTGGTAGGTTTTTTTCCATTTGGTAGGTTGGTAGACTTAGTTGGATTTTGGTAGGTTTCAGGACTACGAGTAATAGTTATTTGAGAAAAATAGAAAATATGTATCACCAAACATTTTAGCAATGTTTTTTTACATGAATATTTCACCGGTGCGTTCGTATAACGGCGGCTGCAAACATGATTCCTCAGTACAAACGTATACCCTTATTATTGCAAATATACAATACGAACATCCATATATACTTTATGGCGTACTTGGACCAATATTCCAGGTAAGTCTGCCAATGGACTTGTACCCAACCATATTCTGGGCGGAGGTCTTCGCAATCGAAGTCTGTGTTCGCGAATTTTATCGTAGAAAGCAAATGAGGCCAGAATAAATATTATGTCAGATATTCAGGCAGCGTTAGAAGCCTTAGTCTTTTAAAACGGCATCAAGGCTTGTGAACTCTTGAACCACCTGGGAGCCCACAATAGCGTACCGCTGTGGAGGGTTCAGGGACATGAAGGGTTTGAAGGCAACGAAAGGGCTGATTGTCTTGCAAAGAGTCGAGCCCAAATGAGTTTGCATGGTTCCGAGCCTTTCTGCGGTACATCTAAAGGATACACTGCGGACCTACTTAGGAGCTAGCTGGGAATTGCTGCACGCTGGCGGAGGTCGAAGCGAATAAGACAATCAAAGGGATTCATAGCTTTTCAGGAGCAACTCCGAAAGATACCTTGAAATTAAAACTCTTACTGGCTACCTGGCAGCACACTGCAAGTTAACGTACCGATTGAATTAAAGGGTCTTTCTGTAGAGACTGACTCTAGGTTTTGTGGGCCGGTGATGGAAACCCCAGAGTATATTCTATGTGCCTATCCACGAAGCATGAATAGTAGATTGATGCACCTTGGAGAAGGATTGTCTTCTCCATCTAAAATTTGGAACATGGCATCATCCAAAGTGCTGAGCTTTTTAAATAGCCTAAGTTTGGATCGATTACAATTAGGATTTAGCACACTATATATCTTATTAGGTCGCAACGCGGGTATCTCCGACGCAATAATAATAATATAGTATCTTGACACGAATAAAGACGCTCGGGTGTTTTGACTGCAAAAAAGGATGCGTGAAAAAAAAATTGCGAAAAAAGACGCGTAAACATGGATTCAACATCATTCCGGAAAAACTCTTTGGGGAATTCCTATACTCGCAAACATAGTTGACCGCGAAAATAAGTATTCTTCATCTTTCTTCGCCGTAAAGAGGTTAACGCGTCTTTCTTTGCCCTCGCCTATGTTAAGAGTCCTTCTTCGCCGAAATTTTTTTACGCGTCTTTTTTCGTCAACTTTTGAGCTCGCGTCTTTATTCGTATATAATGACGATATGTATGTATGCACAATAAAATGAATCGTTATACGCAGTTAATTTATTTTTATTGTACTAGCTGAGTATTAGTTTTACAACATTAAGTACTGTAACATGTTAGCTATGTTTTTAATAAATTTGACATTGAAGAAAAAAAATTTTAAAATTCAAAAAAATTTTTGGTAGGTTTTGGTTGGTTATGGTAGGAAGCATGATAAAAACATTACAAGGTAAATTCATTCTCTCATTTCGTCGGCCATGATTTTTTTCTGACGTTTGCCAACATTTTAAAATCATATAAAATTGAAAATAAAAAAATGAAATTGTTCACAATTGTTGTTGTTTGAGATTGAAAATGAGAATGTGTGTGTGAGTTTGAGTTTTGATTTTAAAATTATATTGTTGGCAAACGTCAGACTGCCTCTCAATGGTTTTAACTTGTTATGTTTTTATCATGGTAGGAAGTTTTGGTAGGAAAAAAATGTGTCTGAGGCAACGCTGATTGCCACCAACTAACTGTAAAGCTTCTAGGACAATGGTCGGCACGCCATAGTACAATTGTACAAGCTCTCATCACACGCCTTTGTTACGCTCTTTCGTTTAGTCGTCGCTAAGCAAGCAACGAAGCAACATTGTAGTTGGCTGTACTCTGTTCATGCATACTGAAAATATATTTCGTACAATAATGATGTGCGAAAAGTATTTCATGTTGGCAAACGCTTTTGGCAAAATGCAATGTTTGTTATGCTACAAATGATTTTCAGCAAAACAAGTGCACGTTTTTAAAAGGCACTATGATTCTTTTCACAATAATATAAATAGTTTTAGCGAATTAGAAAGAGGCAATATTTTTAACAATAAAAAGGCTTTATTTTTGCAAAAGCTAAGATGTTGGTTGACTCAAATGGAGGACTTTGAGAAGGCAAAAAATAAGAAAATGAAATTAAAAATGGAGTTATCAAGCTTAATACGTTTAGATATTATATGGCAGGGTAGACCATTTTCTGATGGTAAATTCATCAAAAACATTGCAATAAAAGTTTTAAATAAACTCAATTTTGATTCTGATCTAGTTATGTCTTTGCCTTTATCTCCGAGAACTATAGTGCGTCGTACAGATCAGTTAGCCATATGTATTAAATCAGTAATCGAAAAAAATTTAGAGGATTGCAAATTTTTTTCAATATGTCTAGATGAAAGCACTGTCATTAACGATATTTGTCAACTAGCAGTTTGTATTCAATGCGTGCACACCGATTACAAAATTTACGAAACTCTATATTCTATTGAGAGTTTTTATGAAAACGTAACAGGAAAATGTTTGTTTGACATTGTCAATGAAAAGAATTTCTCACTTGTTAATATGAAACAATTTGCTGGAGTATGTACGGACGGTGCAAACGTAATGATTGGAAAGCACGAAGGGTTCATAGGTCAATTGAGTAAACATGGAATTACAGTTCAGTCTTTTCACTGCATTATTCATCAGGCCGCTCTTTTAACAGACCACCCTGTCATGAAGACTGCAGACCAAATTATAAACAAAATGCGAGGCGGGCATCAATCACTTTCCCATAGAAAATTTGTGAATTTTTTAAAAAACAAAAATGCTAGTCACCTTGATCTTAAAATCTTCACCGAAGTTAGATGTCTAAGCCGCGGCGATTGTCTCAACCGGTTGCTTGGCCTAAGGGAAGAAGTATTACAGTTTTTAGAAATTGAAAACAAAGAACAACGCTGGATAACGTTGTTAAAAGATAACGCTTTTATTTTAGACTTAGCGTTTTTAACTGATACAACAACTCTTTTAAATGATTTGAACCTTGAACTTCAGGGAAAAGAGAAAAGTTTGCCAGATATGTATAAAATCCTTAATATTTTAAGAACGAAAATATTTTTACTTCTTTGTGAAATTCAATCGGAAGATTATTCAAATTTTTCTAAAACCGCGTTAATTTATTCAACGACGATGTTGGCAAATCTATTCGATTTAATAGTTAAATTATCGTTTGCGTTTGATACTACCCTAAACACTGTAAAATCTGGCCCTTCTGGCAACACTGCTCCTGCTGGAAAAATCGAAATGTGTCATATCTATATGTTTGTAATTGCTAATTTTGTGTTCATTGATTTGTGTATTCTTGCCACTTAAAATTCAACCAGCAAGGAGATAAGGGACCAAAACGAATGTAAGAATATGTTTGTATTTCATTGAACTATAAGACTTATACTGCATTTTTAGAAAATAAAAACTGTGCAAACTGCGCTGTGCTGTGTCACCAAAGTTTACTCGTGTAAAAACTGAAAGTACGCCCGTTTTTATTTCTTGGCTCCCTCTATGCTGGAACATATTTTTATTTTATTCGCAACGAAATTGAATTGGCCATAGAGCATCAAGAAAATCCGGTCAACAGAAGTCCGGCCAACGAGAAGCTCGAGAAAGCTGGTTTAAAGTGGACCGGCATCAAAAGTACCAGAACGCTGATCGACTTACCGAAAGATTGTAGCAGAGTTGCGGATGTGAGGTCCTGGAAAGTGATTGGGGTAAGTTCGGTGGTGTGTTGTGTCATTTATTGGTTAGCTTAGGGTCCAAAAAGGGTATTGCGTGAGCCGTGCCGTAGAAAATTCTAGTTCTTCGCATAACGGCATAATAGCGTGTTAGAAAATTCTAGTTCTTCGCATAACGGCATAAACGCGTGTCAGAAATCTGTGTTGACGGCCATCTTAAAAAATGGTATTGACTCGTGCAGCATCCAATATGCAAGACGAAGACAACAATAGCAACAACGAGTTTAATACTACCGCCCGCGAACAGGGTGCAACCACGCACCCACAACCAGTGTTGCCACTTGAGTTTAGTTTTAGGTACCAAAATGCCTACCAAATCAATTTCCAAACTACCAAATTTTTGTTCATCATTAAAACGAAATTTCTTGAATTTACGGGGTCTTTAGCTACATTTCCCTGTAGGGAAAACACGAACTAGTGAACCAAATTTCTAGTTCACTACTAGTTCTTTTTCCCCAAAAACGAAACAGTCCGATAGTAACTAGTCCCGCACCAGTCCAAAAGCAATGAAATGTGGTACTTTCAGTAACCTATTTTATTTCAAATTTTAAAAGCAGGGAAGGTAATCATTATGAGTAAAATAATTTAAATCAGCATTTAATCATTATTTTATGAATTATTATTGAGTTTTATTTTTTCGCTCAAACGGAAATAATTATTATTTGATTTTTATTTTTGGCATTACAAATTATGATTATTTTATGATTTTTTTTCGCGCAGAGATTATCTTTAATTTTGAGTTTTATTTTTCCACTTAAAAATAATGATAATTTATAAAATTTAAAAGGCCATACAGACGCAACCTACTGAAATTTTGACCTGAAAAGTTTGGGTCTTATTACACTTATAAGAGTGCGGCTACCTCTCAAAAGGATACGTCGGTAATCACGCTGATATAGTTTTTGAGTTGCCTAATAATCATTATACTTAGTGATTCCATAAACAAAGGCCAAGATCCTGAAGGACAATTGAGAAAGGTAATGCAGTTGCAGAAAAAGAGGCATTTAAAAAAAAAGTGTCAAAATAATTACCACTTTCTCACTAAATTTATTTTAAAATGCAAGCCACCACAGCTACCTTTTTTTAAGAAAAGACAAATTAATTTTTGTTTTATGCAATCCAGCACAGCTACCTTAATACAGTCAGTCAATAAAATTTAGGTACAACGAATTTTTTACAATACGGGCAACTATTTTTTAAATATTTTAGTTTTCGGTAATTTTTTATAAAATCCCCAAAAATCAGACCTTGTGCAAAATTTAAGAAAATTCTGCAAAATTTCATTAAAATAATTCACTTTCTATTTTCGCTCTCTAGAAAAAGTTGACATTGCAGTTTTTTAGCCCATTCAATTTTAGTATAATGAAGTGCAAGTATGAGGAAGCTAGGACTTACCAAACAACAAAAAAAAATTGCTAAATATCAATGGTAAGTCCTAGCTGCCCCAAACTTGCACTTTGTCATACTAAAATTGGATGAGCTAAAAAACTGCGTACTTAACTTTTTTCTAAAGAGTGTAAATTGCAATATTTGGATGGAAATTTGCGGAGTTTTCTTTAATTTTGCATAAGGTTTGGAACTCTGACTTTTGGGGTTTTTGGTGTAGAACTAACCATATTTTTATAACAAATTAGGGAAAAATAAAATATTTAAACAATAGTTGCCGGTATTGTAAAAACTTCGCTGTACCTAAACTTTATTGACTGATTGTATATCTTATTTACTTAAAAATCAATATGCTTAAATTTAGACAAGTAAGACAAAGTGAACTAATATTTTTACTTTTAAGCAGAACGCACTTTTGTTTTTTACTTACTACTTAAGTTTAATACTACTACTACTACTAATGTGGTTTATAAATTTTTAATAAATGCGTTTAAACATTTGTGATGGTATTGTCCTTCCTTCAACCGATCGTATTTAATATAAAAGGGAAATGTTTCGACAAGCCTGATTAGAAATGTAGATCTAAGGTGACGAATTTATAACAGGTTGGGAACTATAAAAAATGGATAAAGATCGAACTAGATCTCATCTGTCGAATTATGAACTGGTTTGGAACTATAGAAAAAGGGATGGAAAACGAACTAGACCCTATCTGTCGAATTTAGAACTGGTTCGGAACTATCGCCAAAGGGATGTAACGGGGGACAATTGACAATTCCTAGGACATCGCAATGTTAAATTCGCCAGTCGCTAGCATATAAAAGAGAATTAACGCGTACTAGTCATGGTTCCA